TTTTTAAGGCTGTTCATGAAGATGCTCTGATTAATCAATACATCTTAAAGAATTTAATTAATATGTTTTAACAAGTAAAGTTTTGATCAACCAAAAATAGTTACTTTGCTCATATAGATGAATTATCAACCACTCCTAAAACTTCTAACATAACCTCTACTCACTGATACTCACATTTAGGTATTTCTTTCCTGATCAACTAAGCTCTGGTTAGCAAGGCTTTCTTTGCCCTGCATTTCAAATGTGTTGCACTCCCAGACATCAGAATCCTTTGCTTTATAGCAGATTCAAATCAATTCTATTTATGGTATTAACAGAAAGCAACAATTAAAATACTGAAGTTTTGGAAAACTAGTGCTAAAATTAGTGCCAAACAAACTGATCACACAGCCTACAAGAATCAAAGGTTCTACAAATTACAGGTTTTTTTTTCCTTTGCTTTTGTTGTCACCTATTTTTCCTGGTAGGTAATTTTATGTTTTTCAATTCTAAAACTTTGAGGCTAATATGACACACCTTTCCAAACCCAAACCTATTAGTCTGACAATAATCCCTTATGCTGTGAGTGAAAGGCAGATCTGGAAGTTAACCATACTTAAGTTTCAGGGACCTCAATGCTCCAGAAGGAACCTAATGATGTGTTAACAGATATATGTTTTATTAAAATACAATGTAAAACCTGTATCTAACCCTCCAGGCTAGCAGTCTCCAAGGTCTAGATCTGGAATTAGAAGTTAAAAGCCAAATGTGTTCAAGGAGGGGTGGAGGGAGAAGGGAGGGAGGGAAAGAAAATAATTTCACTTCTGTTGGAAGAAAATATATTGTGCCCTGTCCTAGAATGTTCTAGAACACATGTTGCAGACATTCATTAAGTCCCTTGTCTCTTGCCTAACAGCAGACATCTTTCCAAGTGGCACTCCAGGGTAGGCTCACTTAATGAGGGGTGGCGTCAAGAACAAGAGACTCAGCTATAACAACGAAAATATGTTTTTCATTAAACACAAAACTGAGCTGGGAAAAAAAACTAGCCAAGAGGCAGGTGTATCAGTGAAGGAATTCTCATGAGGCCTTTAACTTCCACATCAAATTGCACTGGATTTTTCTACACTAATTACCTATTACTGAAGACTGAAGAATTATAACAAATAATTTGCCACAGAAACAGAGCACAGATGTTGCAAGGGATAAAATGAGGGGTTTATGAAGTACAAAATCAGGCAGAAGAGATTCCAAATTTGCTGTTTTTAAAAATACCATACATTTTTTTCTACTACAAGAATGATGAAAGTGAAAGAGGTCTAGGAGGCCAGTTTTAAATTTAGTTTGGACTATGAGTGAGAGAAATTGCAAATTAAAAGCTAAGTGCTAGAATCTAATTTATTCCATTCCTGCAGATAGATATCCTAAAGGCAGAAATCACAAATTCGTTGTTTAATGTCTCACATCACAGTGCATATAGTCCTTTTGAGAGAAATGTACTACCCAATGACAAGCAGCCACTTTTGAAAGCCCCTCCCCCTTGTTTTTATGTCATGGTTGCCTAATGCTTCCCCTTTTAGCCTCTAAATTCTCCACACCATAAGTCTTGCTCTACACCTTACATCCTAGAAAATGTAGCACATAATTTCCTTCCAGCTCCTTTTCTCTATAAATTTCCTAGGAAAAAAAACTTTCCCTACTGCACTGGAAAGATATTTTTATACTGGTGATGTCTATATTAAATACACACACACACACACACACACACATACACACCACGCACACGTTTCTGAAATTGTTCGCCACATTCAGTTATTTTACCTCTTCCCCCAAATAAAAGCGTCTTTTCAAAGAAAAATCTATTCCTAAAATTCTCCAATTTCTATGTTATGAGTTCAGATTTTATATGAATGCTCTAAAATATGGAATTATATGCCTACAAAAAGATATTGATGAGCTTCTCTTGGAATAGAGAAAGACAAAAATGGAAAATAACAATAACAAAAAAACACTTGGAGGTTTTTTTGCAGGGGATGGGACTAAAACTGACAGAGATAATATTTGGGGCCTAAGCATAAATCAGACTTTTATTTCTACAATACTGGGCATATTATCCTAATAAGTATTTCAACATTCTAATTATAGTATTTTTCCTAATGTGCAAGGAATTTTGCTAAAATAAGAACTGCATGTCCCCTCTAATTTCACTCTGTAAACAACACTTCTTGTCAGGGTTACCTCTCTTCTATTCATGCACAATTGGCCTCTCTGACATATTCAGGATAGAATGTGAGGAGAGCAGCAGTCTGGCTGGTTAATGCCACTGCATGTAGGAAAATGGAATCCTCGCTGTATATAGCTCTAGTTTCTGTCACTGTTCCTCTCTATCTCTTATATTCTGTGATGACTAAATACTGGCACAAAGGTGTCATTCCCAATCTGGTGTCCTTTAAGGGAATCCTAACAATATCTTAGTTATTGATAACATACTTGACTGCCTCATGAAAGTTGTGCAAGTATCTGCATTACGCTATACTGGATATAAAAATGTTCATCTTTGCAGGCCAGGAATAGTGGCACATGACTACAAACTTCTGGGAGACAGAAAATTGCAGTCTACAGCCAGCCTAGGCAAAAAGTTAGTGAGGCTAACAAAAAACAAAAACAAAAACTGAGGGTATGGCTCAAGTGCTCTACCACTTACCTAGCATGTGTAAAGCCCTGAATTTAATCCTCAATACCACTACCAAAAAAAAATAATAACATTGGAGTTTTTATCAACTCACTGGTTTCCAAAATGAATACTTACCTAAAAAATTTGAAGTTGCCTTGGTAGATTAAAAATAATTTTTAAAATTTTTTTAATTATTTTAAAATTAAAAATAATTTTAACTGGATCAGTTAGAATGAAAGTTGTAAGTAGATAGATATCTGAGAGTTTAAGTTGATCATCACTGTCCAATCATTAACTCTGCATTCTTACAAGTGAATGTCATTGATGAGAATGGTAAAATCAAAGAGCCTGACAAGTTCAGTTTTATAAGTGTGTGTGTGTGTGTGTGTGTATGTATTTACATATATATATATATATATACATGATATCTAGGCATGTTTCCCTCTGATTTTTAAAAATAAAAGCCTACAGAGATTATATTGTGTTTCCATTAATTCCTAATGAGCATATTTTAGAATCTCTCATAAATGTGTAATGAAATAATCTACTGGTACACATGTCATTGAATTTCCTCATTAAATTCTGTATAAACATCTCATGGAGTACATATCATCTCTAAGTGCAACATGGTCCCTGGGGAGTTCTGAGATGCTACAACAGAAATGCCTAAGCTCAGCTTTTTCTGAAAGGAAACAAAGAATGTCAAATCATTCTTTTCATTTGTTATTAAATCAAATTAAGAGCCAGTATGAGCCATTGGTGACTCATACCTAACTGCTTAGGAGGCTGAGATCTGAGAATCACAGTTTGAAGGCAGCCTAGGCAGAAAAGTCTGTCCTGATTTCAAGCCCCAGGATTAATACCAAAATAAATAAGTAAAGAAAGAAATAAACAAAATTAAATAATTAAAATTAAGATGCAAGGAATATTCTAGCCACACTGATATTGCATTTGCAAAGAAGAATTTATTTGCACTGTGCTAATTGACTTACACCTGTAATCTTGGCTACTTTGGAGAAAAAGTTTAATGCACAAGGAATGTGGTTAGAGACCAGCCTGAGCAAAAAGTTTAGGACACTCTCTATCTCAACTAAAGGCTGGGTGCAGTAGCACATAACCATCAACCCAAGGCAAAAGCTGATTACATTCCATCTCTACCAACAGTGAGTATAATAGCACATACTTGTCCTCCTATTTATGATGGGAAGCAAAAGAGGAGAATTATGGTCCAAGCAACACTGGGCCTGCTCCTATGTTAAGCAAGAACCTATCAACAACAACAACCAACCAATCAAACATCCAAACATAGCAAGAAGGGATAGAGGTGTCGACTCAAGCGGTAGAGCACCTGCCTACTAAGTACATAGTCCTGAGCTCAATATTGCCAAAAGAAAAAAGAGAGAGAATATATAAAAAGTAAATACTTAACTGTTTCTAAGTACAATGTTTGAAAACTATTTTAGCTTATATATCTAATTTCACCAATTTGGAATATGGTATGAGCTGTGCTTCTTTACAAAATGTTTCATCCAGATTTACTGTTCAAGTATCTAGCCATTTCTGAATAAGCAATGTGCTTACTCAGAATTCTCATATTCAGTACATCCACTCCACACATTTTATAACACAACCAGTGAATACATTAAAATCAAAATGCAAACCAAAAAATATGAACCATGCTATAAAGAATATGAATCATCACCATGCTCAGATATCAATTAACTTAAGACCATTTTCATCTGACAAGGAGGATGCAGGTAAAAATTCTGATTAATATCAATAAATATAGATGATAAATATTATAATACGGATGAGAATCTGATATATTTGAATATATGTACAATTTTCAATATTAAGTAACTTAAGTAAGTACTTTAAGAGTTATGATGAAATTTCCTTTATAAAATTTACCTTGAAATTTTAAAAACTCATAAAAAGGTTGAGTTTTATGTAGAACTCATCTAGGTAAAATTTTACCCCTTGGAGTGCTAAATTACTTTGAAGTGCTTTTATTTCTGGTATACAATATCAGATATCACTATCTTATTCACAAAAAATCCTTGAACTATTTTGAAGAAAGCATCCCTTCCCTAAGTCATACATACATGCATGCCTTCACAAATGTACACATGTGTACACATTCCAATTATAATAAACTTGAGATTTAAAAAACACAATTCATATTTATCTTCCAATTTGAGGAAGTTTACCACGTTTTACACATGAAGTTTTACCACATAAAGTCAGTCACATCACTGAAACAAAGACATGTGGAAATGCAATTTTCAAAGTGAAGCAGCTGGATCATTTCTTAGTTGCACAAAAATGACAGTGAGAACAGACTTACCTCTCCTTGCTTGGGGATGTTGAATTTGGAAAGCTTGGTCTTAGCTCTAGCTGACTCTGACTTAGTGACTGGGCCCCCCCTGTAGGATGTACAGTGCACACCAGATTCTGTAGAGGACTTCAGCTTAGGGGACTCATCAGGAGCCTGGTCTTGACCATCCATTGGTCGTACATATGCGGTTGGTTTTTGCTGGACCAGACTAGGTTTTGAAGCCAATGACGGAGGAAAGTTCTGAACACAGTGTGCACTGCTGTTGTGCTTAGTTGCCATCGCAGGTGGCCTTTCCTGGGTCTGAAGCCCCATCTCCACATTACACACTTGTTTGGCCCGTGGTTGCTGTCTGCCAACACCATCTCCAAGCAAGGTTCTAAGAGAGCCTTGTGGTGCTGCATGGGAAGAAGAAAAAAGAAGAATGAGGGACTGAACATACAATGGTTAGGTTTGTTTCATTGTTCTCTGAGGTAGTATATCTGTTCAAAACCAGCAACCTGTGCTCTGCCTACCTGCTCTCTGTTGGCCATCAGAGGATGGGTGCCCAGCCTTTTGCCAGCTCATGGTTCCTCTCTTACTTTGCTGCACAGGGACAGCTGCTGGTGTGGAAGATGTGGTACTACACACAGATGAGGGCTGGCTTTGGGCTCTTGAGTCTGCCACAAAATGTTCATCAATCTTGTTCGCAGGAGTCTGAGTCACCCCAGGTTTGGGGACACCAACAAGATGACTCTGATTGGATCTATCCGTTAAAAAGTCTTTCATTTCATCATAATTGCCTAAAGTATTCTGAATCCGGTTTGAGAGCTCATCCCCCTTGTTAGTCTGGAGAAAGAAAAACATATCCATGCTATTGTTAGAAACAACAAAAACACAGAAAGTAATGGACAGGTGCCTTGACAATCATAGAACCCAGGCTGACACACTCAAAAGGAGAGCTGAGAGATGAAATCACAATCCTTACAGTGTCTGATGATATCCCATCAGCACTCAGCATGGCTACAGACCTGGAAACTTGTAAGGAACAGCCTTAGGCATTGTTGAAGCTGTCCTTTGTGTTGTAGTTTATAGATTACCCAGATATCAAAACATTAACTACTTCAACTTTGTTCTATAGTACATCTTTCCAGGATTGGATTATCTTTTGTTTTCCATATTCCCACTGGAAATTTACTTTGCAAATTCAGATTTGGCTCAGAATTGGTCTTCCTCCAATTTCTAAATAAATAATTACTGCTACCAGAATGACAGGCAAGAAATATCAGGAAAACATGACTTCAAAGATCGCTTTTGTTAGTCCCTCCCCCACAGTATAACTCCTGTTTTCACTATATTTGATGTTGGTATAATTTGTGGAGGGGAAGGGAAAAAACAAATTGCTTAAATAGGGATACAGGTACACCCATTGCAACAATGAGATGTACAAGACATTAGGTCAAAAAACAAACTTTACAATTTTGGGGAGGGGGGAAAGTGGGTAGTAGGGCGGGGAGATGGGAAGGGATGGGAAGGGGAAACAAAGGAGGAGGCAACAATGCTTGATAAGAAACATATTCATTACCTTGCCCATGTAATTGTAACCCCTCTGTACGGTATTTTCACACACAAAAAAAAAGATACATGGAGCTAAATGGGCAAGAATCTACCAATATGAAAAATCCATAGCTCCATGAATCATTTTAGAAGACAGGTTATATATTTGACCTTTGGTAAAAATGAGAAATAATTTGAATATTTCTTTTCATTAGCCCTGATTCTTGCAAATGTCAAATATGTAACCCATCCTCTGTTTTGAATAGTGTTTGTTTCCTAAGATCTTAGAAAACGTAACAAATGGCATTGTCTTTGAATTACCAAAGCAAAGGGACAATGTATATCATCAATAAAAATCACAGCAATTAAAGTCTGTATTATTGATAAAAACCACAGCAAGTGGTTCTCAATATTAAATAAATTCACATTTTATTGAAGGAGCCAACAGACGTATGAATTCAAAACCAAGAGTGGAGAAGGGGGGGATTACACTTTACTTGGTAGCCAAGCTTTCTTTTCCCTAGTTTGTATAGGCAGAGAGAACTAACTGGGGTTTTCTCAGTCAACTCCTCCAGTCAAGACAGCCATCCACAGAGAATTTATGGTAGGGGCAAAGATGAACAACTTCGTACACACTACCTTGTAGGGCTCACTGAAGAGAGAGTAACTGGAATTAAATGTGCCACCATCCTGTTGCGTTTCTTGGTTTCTTCTCTCTCGTTCTTTCCTCCGTAATGCATTCCTATCTGGTTCATAGACACTGTATCAGGAGAAAGAAAAGAGAACAAACCAAAAAATTAAAGAGTAATGACCAAGGTATCATGTATTTGACTGCAGAACTCTAGTTCATGAACAAATGGCAATGAGAACAGAACATGGATAAGATTAAAGCCAGTCTAATCATACCACATGAGCTTCGGGTCTGATATAATTACAATCTTCAGGAGGGAAATCCTTAGGACAAGTTCTAACCAAAATGAAATTCCTCTGATATGTAAAGAGGAACTACCTAAGTACCTCTGACTGGAAAAGACTTGAGTGATCAAAAGGCCAACGGTAATTACAGCATGTGTAAATAGGAATTATGAGCATATTTCCTCTATGACATCATCTCTGAATAGTGTATGGGAATATTCCTGTTTGGGATTTTTGGGGGGTGGGCTTGGGGAGTATGGCTGCCATTCTACAGTGATTCTTTCATTAACTAGCTCCCTAAAGAGCTGTTGAAACTTCATGCTGCAAAGACTTTTGCAGTTTTAAGCCATCTTCTGATCTCTGTTAATCAGTCAAGTCGTTAAATGATTCCTGAATCAATTCCTCCTTCTGATATATTTGACTCACTCATCCTCCTAACTATGAAAAATGTACCAGGAGGAAGAGGAGCAGGTGACAAAAGGGAGAGAATGGAAATTGAATTATGCCATGGCATCAAGGAAGTCAGCCTTTTGGTTGAAGAAAATTAATATCTATTCTTCTAAAATACAATTATGAAGTGGCCAGATACCAGACAACTGAAATAACTAAGGAAGAAATAAAATCTGCCTGCCACCTAATAGGGAGAAAATACAGGACTAATTCAACAAATGAGACAAGGAAGTGATATGCTTACTGACAGAAGGTAACACTTTTTTATGTTGTTTCATGCTTGGCTCACTGGATAAAGAAATTTGATCATATGTCCTTCAAAACCGGCACTGTCCTCATTTCTGGGCAGAAGCATTTAACATAAATGACCTTGTCACCATTTTCCTTAGAGCTCCCACTTGGACTAATGGGCAGATGGCTGAGCCAGGAGTCAGGACACTTCCCTATTAATTGAAGCTGTCCCCTAACCAGAGACCAGATGACAGAAAACTCAACCTCTATAGCCTCTGTCTTCATTATAAAGCAGAGATGCCTTATAGGATGGCTATAAAGTCTAAACATGAAAGTCATTTATAAAAGAACTTTGGAACAATTGTAGGGGCTTGAAACCCAATGCAACTACTTAAAATATAATAATAAAAGAAACTGTGGGTTCAAAGGAATTTTATGAAAATAATGATATTTTTAAAGCCAAATAGCTATCTATAGTAAAAAAAAGATAATATTTGTGTGATATAGCTGTGGAAAACACAAAAATACAGTCATAAAATAAATATTGCTTATCCTAGCTCTGCCTGTGTGGCAAGAACATATTTAAAATCTACTGTCTACCTGGTGACACTAAGAATGCTTCTGGCAAAGCTGTTCCAGGCCCTAAGGCATTTAATTTAAATTTAAAATTAGGGAATGTTAAAATATCCAGAACAAGGAGTCTATTAGCATTTTAATTCATTCTTAGTACATTACCCAACATTATTAGGTTTGGGAAACCAACCAGTGTCCTTCATACAAAGGAAACTGCAGCCTCTAGACTCTTCTGTAAACTGAGAGGCTTATAGCTCAAGTCACAGTCACTTTCAGTCACTTCTGTGGTGACAGTGAAGAGCAAAGATAAGGGGCAGATGGAAATGACAATCTCATCTACAGAGCCAGGGCTTTCCTGTCCTTCTGGTGAACATTATTCCCATGAATCTCTATCTCTTATGAACATCCATGGATTCCAAATGGAGACAATTCTAAGGACAAATGACTCATGCTATGGACAGGTACAAAGGTTTTAATCAATAGGGAAATGATGATTTCATTATGAACAACTCACTTTTAGACCAATGTCGGCATTTGCAATCAAAACAATCGTAAGCTTGTACTGCATGCATGGGAACTCTTCCTCTCCAGCATGAACAACAATCATCACACACAGACATCCACACACATGCTTGCCATCCTTGGATGAGTCAAGCCACGAAGCACACAAGACTGGTATGATACATGAACGGCCTTATGGAACAGCAGATGATTGTTGGGCTTCTGAGGAGCCCCCCATGCCCTGTATAATACCTCCTGCATCTGCTGGCTGATGACTGAAATTCCACAACTAGGGAGTCATTCCTCTGGCTTAAGATGTCTTCACCCCTGTAAAAATATAGACACCACAAGCAGAGAAAACACTTGAATCCTGACCAGCCTTCATTTGGTATCTTAATGAGCATTACATGTTTGTCAGCATTCTTTCCAAAGGCCAAGAGAAAAGGATATAAGGACACCAAGATCCAAAGGCGAAGCAACAAAGAAGCAGGGACAGGGACAGAATATAGCAATGAAAAAATGATAAATTATTTTTCAATGAGGCTTAAATGTAAAAAAGACAATAGGACAAATACCAACTATGATTTAGCAGTAAGATACGAATATGTTTCCACAATCTGGAGTAAAAAGGATCATGCCATAATTTGGAAATGCTAGAGTTAGAGGGAAGCTGTTCCTCTTTACTAAACTGCTTTATTTCTGACCTCTCTGAGCTTAAAGATGTCTTCAAGCTCTCCACCTTGCAGTCTGAAGATAGATAAAGTTCTCAAGTAAGGCTCTGCCTACATAACCAGCCCATGGCTGGCTTCTAACATTGATTAGTAGAGAGTATCCTCAGGACCATGTCCGTGGAATCTAGTAACAGAAGTGTACTTGCCAGCTTTTTGCATTACACCATGAGGCTTTTTGTCATTCCTCCACACTAGGAGAAGCAAGATGACCCCAGATATAATTGTCCCCACTGCTTCAAAGGAGAGTAAAGAAAACACAAGAGGAAAAGCTTTGTTTCTTCCCTGCTACTTGGTGTCTCTGTCCTTTCTCCACAGGGAGCTCGGCAACCTCCAATGAACACTGAGCCCTTCCCAAAGGTAACCCACCCACTCCTTGACCTTAACTGGATAAGAGCACAACCCCCATGTGTCACTTCAGGCCACTGGAGCTAATATACCACCTGCCTAAAGCAAATATTGTAAGAGAAAGACAGGACTTCCCACTCCCCATCTCTCCCTGAGTGCCTGTACTTTCACCATTGCCCCAACACTATGTGTTTAGATGACGAAATCTGCTGGTGGACAGTGAGTCCACCACCCCACTAAGTACGAGTAGAATTTGTGTAGGTGCTCACAAGCCCATAGAGCACATTCCTTTTCATCTCTCCTCTGTCTTTTGACAATGCAAAGACCCTCTTTCCTGATATACTGGAAATTGGCTCAGCTTTCCTGAGGATAACTGACTTAAATTCAGAGAATTCTAATCCCTGGAAGGCAAATGTATAAGTTAAATCAGGTAAGTGCCAAGTCTTATGAGCTGTGTTTCTTTGTTACTAGAAGATGGTACTTTCTCTGTCATCCATAAAGATTTTTCCTATTTCTGTAAAAAATGTAAGAATCACATTCCTCAAATGTATATAATCAAATGTATTTATTTTACATGGAAGTAGACGTAGTCAACTGCTACAATATTATTATTTATTGCAGACAAATTACATTCACAGAATTCCCAAATCAATTTTACAAGACGTGAGTTTTAAAAGAGTAACTAAAAATTTCACTAAAACATTTCTTATCCTGTTCCATGTATTTGTTTTTAATCCATAAATTGGAGTTTCTTATAGGGGTTAATCAAAAGCCAATTAGGGTAGTTGAGGAGGAACAAATGTCTAAATATGAAATTATTATCATTTCCAAAATTAAACCATCCTTAATCATACTGTAACAACATGAAACTAAATATATATATAAATAATATCTGCAAGACGTTAGGAAGTAGAAAACCCTCCCATGCTTCTTGATTGGGAGGATTAACATCATGAAAATGGCAATACTACCAAAGGCTATCTACAAATTCAATGCGAAACCCATCAATATTTCAACCTCTTTCTTCAATGAAATAGAAGAAGCAATCCAAAATTTCATATGGAACAATAAAAGACCCAAATAGCAAAAACAACCCTTAGCAGAAAGAACAATGCTGGAGGAATATCAATACCAGATTTCAAACTCTACTACAAAGCCATAGTAATCAAAACAACTTGGTACTGGCACAAGAACAGACCTGAGGACCAATGGAATAGAACTGGAGACCCAGAAATGAACCCAAAGACTGACAGCCACCAAATCTTCGATAAGAAAGCTAGAAAAAGTAGAATGAAAGAAAGACATCCTCTTCAGTAAATGGTGCTGGCAAAATTGGTTAAACACCTATAGAAAACTAAAGCTAGATCCTTATATATCACCCTACACCAGAATCAACTCCAAATGGATCAAAGACCTCAATGTCAAAGCAGACACCCTGAAAACATTACAGGGAATAGGAGAAACTCTAGGTCTCCTTGGCACAGGCTGAAATTTTCTTAATAAAGACTCAGAAACACAACAAATCAAAGAAAGGTTCGACAAATGGGATTGCTTGAAACTTCAGAACTTCTGTATGGCAAAGGACATAGCTAGCAAAATCAATAGAAAGCCCACAGATTGGGAGAAGATCTTCACTCGCCATACAACAAACAAGGGTCTCATATCTAAAATATACTTAGAACTCAAAAAAACTAAATCCCCCAACAACAAATCCTCAAAGAAACAACTGCCCAATTAATAAGTGGGCTAAAGACTTAAAGGGAAACTTCTCTGAAGCGGAAATAAGAATGGCCAATAGACACATAAAGAAATGCTCAACTTCTCTAGCTATAAAAGAAATGCAAATCAAAACAACATTGAGATTCCACCTCACCCCACTTAGAATGGCTATCATCAAGAACTCTAATAACAACAGATGCTGGAGGGAATGTGGACAGAAGGGAATCTTACTGCATTGTTGGTGGGAGTGTAAACTTGTTCAACCACTTTGGAAAGCAGTATGGAGGTTCCTCAAAAGACTCCACATAGACCTCCCCTATGACCCAGCAATCCCACTTTTGGGCATTTACCCAAGTGATCACAAACAAGACCATACTACAGCTACCAGCACAACTATGTTTATCACAGCATTATTTACCATAGCTAAGATATGGAACCAACCCAGATGCCTCTCAGTAGATGAATGGATCAAGAAAATGTGGTGTATATATAGAGAGAGTAGAATTTTATGCCTCCATTAGAAAGAATGACATTGCCCCATTTGTTAGGAAATAGAAAGAAAAAAATATATTAAGTGAAGTAAGCCAGGCCCAAAGAAACATAGATCCCATGGCTTCCCTCATTTGT